CTCGCATATGCTGTCCTGCGCAGATATCTCCAGACTCAAGGCACTGGTGTTTAATTGGGACTCTCCTCCCTCCTCCCCTATGACTGTTAATTGGTCTATCTCCTATAAATGTTACTTGTTTTCGTTGACAATTTTACTTCTGTAAATATTCCCACCCAAAACGCCGATCTCGCCTACTTGCACAGACTGACACAGTCGGCAGTGGCCAATCGGTGCCCACTCCTGAGAATTATTGATTTTCTACAAGTTCAAACTTTGATTTTTTTGTACACACGCCATAGCTAGCCCCCTTTTCGTTGCTGTTGCCCTTCTCTGACTATGGACTACCACAGGAGTTCGAAAACTCAGACAAATACAACTATGGTCCCGGTGTTCGACAAAGCTTCGTCTTCTCAATCTAGACCACTCTCGAGTCCCATCAGCAGCCGCAGAGCGACTAGTAGTGCAAGTAGCTGAACGTTGCCAGCAAAGACTGGACGTTTCTGACTCGTTTGCCGTCATCAGTCAGTCCTGCTTAAGTCAAGTGTCCTTCAATGCATCATTTCTTGCCAACTTTACATCTACATCAGTTCTCGTTTCATTCCCTCGCCCACTGGCGCTTGGTGCACCGTTCAGCACTGACATGTACAGACCAAGTTCACTGAAAATACTTTATTAGACTGAAACTGATTGAAAGGCTAGAAAGAGGGTCATTACAAAATGAGGAACACCAGATAATCACGTAGGTGGAGGCGCATTAAAGGCAGGAAAGTAATGCGGACTCTGCTGCTGTTTTTGGCTGCTGGGAGTTGACAGAGTAACTGCACTGGAAGTAGTGTGAAGGAGAGGCGGCAGGGGAAATTGAAACACCGTGGTAGGAGGCAGGGGTTGAGCTAATGCCGGAGCCATCAATGATTGGTTAAGAGTTAGCCAATTGAGAAGCGTAAGAAGATCCGTCGGGGGGTAGCAGGAGGCATCTGGCACTGCGGTGGTCAATTTGGGTGCAGCTTCAGGCCGTAGCTGGGGCGTTTGAAGCATCTGGGTAGGCTGAAAGTTAGGAAAGGCTGTGTGTTCAGTATAGTGTGCTTACCAATCGGGCAAAACAGGAGAAGATAGTTGGATGGGAATATAATCCCCACCAAAAACTGTGGCACAAGACCAAGTTTGACGCGAGTGTCAATATTCCCACGTGGATGCCATAGTTGCTGCGTCTAAGTGAAAACCAAAGCACCGCGAAAATGGGCAATCTTTGATGATTAATCTGCATTCCGCGAGGCCTTTAAGGCAATCCAAGAATGGTGCTGCGTCCGTTGAGGCCTAACTCTACCATCGCAGGCCCACGACACAAGTGCATCGACCCGGCTTTTGCCGTTGTCCTTTTAACGGACAGCGGTTTCTGGTGACAAACGAAATTCAAAAGCTCTAGGACAGTTACGGGCAGACTTGATACTAACATTCCACCTCAGGCCTGAGCAAGAATGCTGTCTTGTGTCAGGAGATTTCTTTGAGTTAGCAACAGTAATGAATTTGAGAGGCCATTCATTCAACTTACTTGTGACTGGTGCGAGGCCAGGCACTGGAAAGTGCTTTTTGAGAAAAAGAAGACTCGATAGCTGGGACAATAGTTCTATTCGCCTGACGTTTCAACATCCGTCGTGGATTCATCATCACCTTTTCTGCTACCGTTTTCTGCTAAGGTCTCTGATGATGAATCCGCGACGGATGTGGAAAGTCAGGTGAAAGAAAGTATTGTCCCAGCGATCGAGTCGTCTTCTTCTAAATTACTTCCTGAGATTTGCATGTTCACTTGTATTGACAAAGTTCTTTTTCTCCAACAGAGTGGCCGAAGCCTGGGAGACTCTGTGTCTGGACGTCGTTATGTTCGCACCCATTGAGGTATTTAAGGGGAAGCTGGACCGATATAGTAAGGCGCTCTACAATAACACCCGACCGATGTCATTCCGCGGCCCGTGAACCTATAAGTATCATTTTACTTGTTTATTCCGGTAACAGCTGTTTATATAATATGCCACTATACACGATCCATCGCTTACGCTTCCTCAGCCTCATATTCAGTCGAAGGTCTTCGCGGTCCTCCCTATTTGACCTTATGTGAACTGCGGCCAGCCCATAAACGTTCTCCCCGCAATGTTAATCCGCAATGAAACGTTTACGATTGTGGTGGGTATTCCTATTGTCGCCACCTTGTCGGTGAACTGTGCAATCAACAAGGGCGTATGCGGCCGCATCTTGCACACTTTGGCGATGATAAACGTAACCTATACGATTCCATCCACGTCTCGACCATAGCGTACTGC